AAATTTATTGTCTCACGGTTCTAGAGGCTAGAGGTCCAAGATGAAGTCAGCAGAGCCATGTTCCCACTGAAGCTGCCAGGAAGTGATCTGTTCTAGGCATCTTTCCTAGCATGTGGTAGCTCTGTGGCTTATGGCAGCTTGATTCTAATCTTCATCTAATGTTCTTCCTGTGTTCATGTCTGTGTCTTTGCATAGCTTTCTTTTTAAAAGGACATCAGTCATATTGGATCACAGGCCCACCTTATTCCAGGATGACCTCATCTTAACTAATTGCAACTTCAACACCCCTATTTCTAAATAAGGTCATATTCTGAGGTACTGAGTATTCGGATTTCAACATATGAATTTTGAGGGACACAATTCAACCCATAACAGTGATTACATTCTGGTGAGTGAGATATCAATAAATGTGTCAGTTTCCAGACACCTTCTTTAAGACAGAGTTGTCATGTATTTTCTTACTATTCTTTAATTCCTCCTCCATCTTGCTCTCTGGAGGAAAGATATTGCCTTAGAATATGAGAATAAAGGACAAAACTCAAATATGTTAGAACAGTGACCTGGATGGAGTGTTGGTTCTTAAAAATTTTGTAGAGCACAGCTAGATACCAAACTTGGGTTTAAACCACTACCATGAAGTTTTTTGTTACTTTCAGCCAAACTTAATTTGAGTTGATATATGAACTTTTCCAAAATTAGTTAGAAACTTGGCTTTAACAGTAAGCCATTCACATGTGTCTTGAACTTTAGAACCTCATTTTTCCATTTGTAAAAGGAAAATAGTCCTATCTATCTGAGTGCTGGTGTGCAAAACATTTAACACAATACTGACACATAAGAGGTTGCTGTTGCTGTTGTTATGGAGTTTTTAATTTGAAAATAGGTGTTAACAACTTGCCATAGTATTTACTCATTTGTTTGTTCATTCAACAAATATTTATTCAGCACTTTCCATGTACCAGGCACTGTATTATAGGCAATGGAGATGGAACAGTGAGTATAAGCAAATTGTCCCTGTTTCCTCTTCAAGAGGCTTGCACTCAAGCTGGGAATAAAGAAGAAAGGCTTGGTGATGGTGGTGAGGTTATGCACATGACCTATGACCTCCTCTGTTTTGGAATATGTTAAAGGGAGAAATGTGGAGCTGCGAGAGAAAAAACACTGTGCTTGACAGAAACAACCTATGTCATAAATGGGGAGACATAAGAAAGTATCAGATCTAATGTCACTCAAAATCAAAGTGGCTTGCCAACATACCTCACATTCAACCTAATGCATTTCAGTTTGCATTTGTTCTGATTTTTAAAAAATTATATTAATTTAATAATGCTTACAACAACAAAAAAGACTGTGCAACACAACATGCCATCCATATCAGTAAATAGATGTTCCAAGATTTTAGTTTGAAAAAGAAGGCTTTTTAAAAATCATTATTGACAGCGATTACAGTAATTATGACTTTTCTTGAAAGTTTTATTCTGAATTATATTTCATCAATGCTGTGTATAAGTAGTTGTCTATATCATCTTTGAAGAGAGTTGCTCTGTCTCTAACTTGAAAGCTCATTATTTTTGCTATTTGCCTTTTCCTTCAAGTAGAGATTTTTTTCATGGTCTTCTTGTGTTTTCTCAGCAGGAATACTATTTTAGACAGATTGCTCTGTTCATATGTTCTGCCTCTAGAATTGGCATGATTGTGTTTGGGCCTTTAATGGGAGAATTATTGGAAGTAAGGAAGGTTTCAGCTTGGTATAGCTAAACCTTGTCTTTGACCATTTTGCAGTGAGTAATAACTGTTTAGATTGTCATTTATCAGACCCTAAGACTCCAAGCAACAGATTTGCCATAAAAATATATTTTCAGAAGGAATTATTCAAATTGTTCATATTAAATTACTTCCCAGTTAATAAAAGTGAAATGGGTTCATCTTTTGAATAACGTTATTATAGAAACTCAAAAGCCAAAAAGATAAACTCTCTGGTGACAACCTAGTGGGAGACTGGACACCTGTGGCTTTATTGATACACAGTGTCTAAAAGTAAACAAAGCATAGTGCAATAAAAGAACGGCCATGCTTACATTCATGTCTTCTCCAGTTTATTCAGGGGCTGGTGTTCATCTTCTGCACTGGGCTCTGCTTTTCTCAGTTATACATTTTGACTGTCAGAGCCTAAATATTTATAAAATGAGAGTCCATGCACCATACCAGTTACAATAGCTAAAATTGTCTTTCTACCATGATAGAGGACATTTAGACAATGTAAAATTATATTTTACTTATTATGCCAAAGGATTTTTATGATTTATAGCTATCTGCAATAAATTTACTTTCAAAATGAACTGATCACTAATGTGGCTCCTGTATTAGAACTATTGCATAGTTTTATTATTGTTTATTTGGTTTATATGGTCTGTGATCAACAACAGCAAAAAATCTGTATGCTAATTTTCTAGCCTACAGGTATGTTTAGCTGTGTTTACTTCTCTTTCAATATAAGGAGAGTCTAAAATATTTTCTGATACTTTATGCCTTGGAGGAGAAAAAAGTAAAAAAAAATGTAATTTGTGTTAGATATTAAAACATTTGCCAAATATGACTTATAATGACAACGTTCTATGGAATTTCAACACCTCTTTTGGTCTTCACTCAAAACAGAAGCTGTTTCTGAATCTACATGCACTCCGGATAACCACCCATGGGTGCACTTGAGCCATTGAAACATTCCTAACTTATGGGCCCTTGGGAAGATTACATTAATACACTGTGGTGTGAGGACTACAGTTCATTTCAAACCTTTCTCATAGTCATGACTGGGAAGAATTTCATGCTTTAATCACATGCTTAAATTCATACAAATTAATGTTTTCTCCTTATACTTCAAAAGAAAATAGCACCGATTTGATGTTTGCACAAATTGACTATTGATGGATGGCATTTGGAGAGAAAGAAATAGTCAGCATTCTCCAATAACATCTTTCCTTTTTTGAACATTGCCATGTATAGCCCAAGGCATTTAATAAAGTCCTCTGACTGTAGTCAGTGATCAAGGATATGTTAGAAGACAGAGTGTCTATGGGACTCTCCATCTCATCTTAGGGACCAGACAATCCAAGGGCAGAGGCAGAGCAGGGTGAATTCAGAGTAGCCTAGGTTCAGGCCCATGCTATAATTTTACGATTTTGCAATCTTGGGAAATTTATCTACTCTCACTAAGCCTCAAGTTTTTTTTTTTTTTTTTTTTTTTTTAAAGATTTATTTATTAGAGAGATGGAGAGAGAGCCAGCATAAGGCGGGAGGGGCAGAGAGAAAGGGAGGGAATCCCAAGCAGACTCTGCTGAGCACAGAGCCTGATGTGGGGCTTCATTCCAAGACCCTGAGATCATGACTTGAGCTGAAATTAAGTCAGATGCTTAACTGACAAAGCCGTTCAGGTGCTCCACTAAGCCCCAGGTTCTTTTTATTTTTTAATTTAAAGAGAGCAGGGGAGGAGCAGAGGGAGAGAAAATCTGAAGCTGACCCTGTGCTCAGCTCTGAGCCTGATGCAGCATTGGATCCTGCAACTTCAAGATCATGATCTGAGCCAAAACCAAGAGATGGCTGCTTACCTGGCCACTTAACAGACTGAGCCACTCTGGCACCCCAAGCCTCAGTTTTTTTGCAAAGCAATGATGATAGAGATGAAAGACAACATTTTTTTTTTTAATGGGGAACAACAAGATGCTGTGGAGTGTGGCTATTAACTATTAAGAAATGATAATTATGGGGCGCCTGGATGGCTCAGATGTTAAGCGTCTGTCTTCAGCTCAGGTCATGATCCCAGGGTCCTGGGATTGAGCCCCACGACTGGCTCCCTGCTCAGCGGGAAGCCTGCTTCTTCCTCTGCCCCTCTCCCTGGTTGTGTTCCCTCTCTCGTTGACTCCTTCTCTGTCAAATAAGAAAATGAAATCTTAAAAAAAAAAAAAGAAATGATAATTATGTGATGTGGTAGAGGTTCTAGCTAAAGCTACAGTGGCAATCATACTGCAATATATAAATGTATATCAACTGGTTGTATACCTTAAACTTACAAAATGTTAAACTTGCACATAATGAATATATTTAATTTAAAAATTAAATTTAAAAAATAGACTGTGAACTCTGAAGGCAGGCTAACCTGGGTTTGATTCTGGACTCTCTTCATTTGCATGGGACAATTATTTAACCTCTCTAGGCCTTACTTTATTCATTTTAACATTTATTACAGTGATAGTACTTTTTTCTTAGTGTGTTATTGTAAGACATAAATGAGATTATCCTGGTGAAATTGTAAGGGCCTGTTTAGCCAGAGCGGCTCCATCTCAGTTGAACAGCCATTTTTGTTTTTTATGTAGTAAAATATAGTCGACCAGTCCCTGATAATAGAGCCCAAATACAAGGGCAGGTCAGGTCAGGTGGAGATAACAGAGCCTGAATGCAGGGATGAGTCGGGCCAGGTGGAGACATCCAATCAGTGGAGCCCGCATACTGTCTCCCTAGCTACCAAGGAGTGTGGGCCCCACCTTTTGGGTGCCTTTTGGGTGCCAATTCTGACCAAGGTGATAGACTAGTTCAAATATCTACTATGGGGTAAATTGTAATTCAATTGGCCACCCGTGTGTGACCTAGCATGATTGTGCAGCTTTCTCTGTGTGTTGCAATCTCATTGGCCACCTGTGTGTGGCCAGGCTCAACCACATGGCCTTTGCTCTATAAAAGTTAGTCTGTGAGGCTGGGAGTTGTCGCTCTCTCTGTAAGAGACGGCCCCAAACTGTCGGTTTGATTCTCGATGCTTGGTGCGAAATAAAGCTTGCTTGACCTTGGCTTTGTATCAGCCTCGCTCCTTTGATTACGGACCTAACAAAATATTTATAATGCTTCCTGGAATGGAGTATGTGCCCAATAAATGTTGTTTTTTAAAAAATTTTTGTTACATAAATTAACCCATTTAATATAGGTTAGCAGTGTTTCAAATGGTGGAGCTTCTACTGGTCCTTCAACTGCTTCAGTCTGATGGCTGACTTTGCCATGAGGGCAGAAGTGATGTTGTAGGTCCAGGTGCCACTAGCAATGGTTTTCATGCAGGAGCCACAATGCCAGAACCCCACAGCTTGTCTTCTCATCTTGGTTTTGCCACAGAAGGAGCAAGTGTACTGGGTGTGCTGGCTTATTTCAATCTTCACCATTTTCCTGAGGGAGACACCATAACGGGTCCCATATTTACCCAGGATTCTGACCTTCTTGGTGCATTTAGCCATGTCACCGCAAACCAGGTCTCTAAATGCTGGTTTTACTTGTAATTATCATGTGCTCCATATGGAAAAGTTGAGAGTAGTTTGAGAAGGAAGGCATATACTAGATCCTGAAGGGATTATTTTCCTGTTGTAAGTGGAAATGGTCTGGAAAGTTTGCATTCTAGCAAGATCATACTAGCTGTGTGGATAAGGAGATGTGTGGAAGAAGGCTTACCCTAGAGGCACACCACAAGGGATGTAAATAAGATGAATTTATGGATTTCACGTTATATTTCAGATAGGGTTGAGAATATTTGGTCACTATATAAGAGGTGAGGGAAGGTGATAATCTTTTTGTGCCTTGAGCAATAAAATCATATGATGATGGTTATATATGATAAAGGTAGATGATATTCCCATTAATAGAGATAAGAAAAGCAGGATAAATAGGTTTTGAAGGATAAAAATGATGAAAGTAGTTTTAGAAAATAGGTATCTATGCCCAGGGCTAATTACATGATAGTACAAGAAATGGTTAAAATTGGGAAACAGTTACACAGATCTCCTTAGGAATTAGTAAAGATGTTTGGAGAATCACACAGAGTCTGATTTCTTGCCAACAAGAGTTACAATATGATTGCTCCTTTGAACAATCTAATATGCACTTGAGAAAGCTGGTAGGGAAAAAAATACAAATCTTAATTTTTTTGCCTTGACATGAATTAATTAAATTAAATAACTGGGCTTGTCTTACTGCTCATTTAAAGATACATGAGCTAAATGAATTGAGTGATTTTTTGAAATGGTTATTATTTTGGACAATGAGGACTGTCTAGAGGGCAAAATACTAGAGATAATATTACAGTGAAGAAGTAAAAGGGTACTAGATATCTGGAAGACAGAAGGGAGGAAAGATAGAGAAATGCCAAGTGGCAATAAGACATTTTGTCTCTTTTGCATCATTACTTAGGGTTGAAACTTAATTTTTCCAAAGAGACTTGAATAGGTCTTTTATTCATTCAGTAAATACACATTAAATAATGACTATGTTCTGATCACTTCTAGGAGCTCAAGATACAGTGATGAACAAGAGTTAAGGAATCTGCCTCAAAGAGCCTATATGCTACTTAGAGGAAAAAGACTAAATAATCAAGTGAACAAAATAAAGAAGATTCATATTATGATTGGTAAAATAAAGGAATTAACAATGAGACATGATACAAGGTAATGGAAGTTCCTACCTTGGTTATAGAAGAAAAATTTCCTCTTAGGAGATAGTGATACCATTTTCATGTATCTGACAGTGACTGTTAGAAGACACATGGACAGTTTAGTAACAGAGATTTTAAAATAAAGTATTTAATTTATATTAAATATATATTTAAAAAATAAAATGAAAGATATTAAGGCATACTTATGTATTTTGGAGAAAAATCAAGTTTAAAGAAGAAAATGTTGATGTAGGATAAATGGGGATAGTTTCAAAAGTGGAGTCTTGAGCAGTGAGCTGTGATGGGATCCTGAGCACAAATGGAACAACAGGCTATGGTAGGAAATGGGCATTCCTTCTGTTCAGGAGAAGGGAAGTTGAGTGTATTGGTATAGATGCAGAAAAAGTAATAGTTTTGTTAATAGGCAAAAGAAAGATCTCTCGCCCGTTATTTTTTCTTTCTCTTCTGTTACTTGTTTTATTCCAGCCCAAGTAGGCAAAATCACATTTAAATTGTTCACCATGATGTGCTGCTGATTTCCAAACTTCTAAATACACTTAATTAAAGCTTTTCCCATGAGTAAGAAATTCATTTTAATGTAAATGCTGACATACTGAGTAGAATTTATATTTGTATTCAAAGTTGGAAGGAAAATGTCTTGTGTAAACTATTAGTTCTATAAGAAGGAATATACCCAACATTGAGTAATTTCATGAATCATTGGTCTCTGCTGTTGCACATAAGGACATTTTTTTTAGATTATATCCGAAGCACTGCTATGTAGCATTCTAGTCATGTTTGTAGCCCTACAGGGAAACATTACATATTCTTTTATAAACAAAATATCTTAACATATGAAAAGAAAACATTAGAAAATTGCTTTAATAAGAACATAAAATGCAAAATCAGCAAGAATTTTCTATATTGAAAAGTAAGTTCTTAAAAATGTCATCTTTGCCCAAGTATAAGATTTTGATATGCTAGAAAAGCAAACTCATATTTCAGTGTAATTCTTTGTTTGATTAACATGGTAAATATTCTTAGAAGTCTGCATCTCGTATGTTATTTAAATCAATTATGATGCTAATTGGTCTAGAAATCATAATAATTCAGTATGCTAATGAATCCTTAAATCCTATTTCTTAAATATTAAGTACAGAATTATGAATTGCTTTTGGTTTCCTACTTTCCCTAGGACTTAGGTAACTACAAAATCAACATTTTCAGCTACCTATGCCATCATTCTTTTTTTACTATTTGTTAACTCCATGTATATAACATTTTGCATACTAAAGTTTTTTTTTTTTTTTTAAAGATTTTATTTATTTATTTGACAGACAGAGATCACAGGCAGGCAGAGAGGCAGGCAGAGAGAGGAAGGGAAGCAGGCTCCCCGCTGAGCAGAGAGCCCGATGTGGGGCTCGATCCCAGGACCCTGGGATCATGACCTGAGCCGAAGGCAGAGGCTTTAACCCGCTGAGCCACCCAGGCGCCCCTGCATACTAAAGTTTTAAAAAACTGTTATCATGTAAAATTTTTGGAAAATACAGGGTCATTCGAACTTTCCAACTTCCATTCCCTACCTAAATCAATTCTCAGCCTAATAAATTAGGTTTCTTTTTCTGCATTCATTTATCATTAACTAATTCATTCAACAAATATTGATACCTAATATGGTATTATTAGACATACAGAATAAGACAGCAGAGGGCCCTGGCCCAAAGTTTATTGGAAAAAATAGACATTTAAGTAACAATTTCAAGTGTGATGAATACAAATGAAACATAAGGAAACACAGGTTTTGTGAAAGTAGGCTGAATTTCACAGACCAGAAGAAAGATGGAAACAATCAGATCATAGAAACATGAGTATTGTCCAACCAATCCTTGACCTTAATTTTCAAACATCGCTTCTTACATTTTTGGCTGGGAAATACACTTGTATAATTTTGGAGAATGATGGTATCCTGCTGCTTGGCCCGAGTAGATTAATAACTTAAGTTCATGGAACAAAAATCATCCTGATTTATATATAATTATAGCATATTTAGTTCAGTCTGATAATGAAACTTTATCTACAGTTGTCCAAACATCTTGGGTCTAGAAATAGCTGTAGGTCTCCAAACAAATCATTTCTAATTTTTATGTGGTAAATGTAATGACAACTTGAGAACTAGCTTCTAAATGAATAATGTCAGAAGATGTATCAGTGTTTCTAATTTGTACTCTTCTTTTTCATTTGGCAGATAAACATTTTCAATGGAGATGATGAAATCAGTGCAGACAAGGCTGCTTTTATTTAAAAAGAGGAATGAAAAGCATGCTTTTTAAGCTAGTGGATTGGCAAACAGAGTCCAAGGTTTTAAAAGATCTGGCTGTTGTTCGACTGATTTAAAGGTATAGATGCCTAGAATTTGAAAGACTTACTTTGAAACTATTTTTTAAAATATGAATTGCCTGTGTGATAAAGCTCGATAGCTTCCCTGTAATCACTATCAAGATATATAAACCTTTTGCACTGTTCCACTTCACAAGAAAATTCTTCACATGACCCCTGCTTAATCAGTAGAATTGTATGAAACTATTTCACATTTTAATGAACCAATGTGGGTGGCTGGATCACTGTATGATACATAATACAAGAAAGAATTTTGAAATTTATTCAAGGAAGAAATCAGTTTACCAAATTGCAGTCCTGGTTTGTTTACTAGAATTAAATAGTTAAGGTCTAGCAAAAACATAATAAATTGGGATGGATTTTTAGTGGATTTCAAGTACTAGAGAGTTCAATTATTTTACTTAGCCTGTATAGTAAGTTTTATATTTGAGATAATTTAAAAATTTCAGTTAACTAAAATTTGTGTTTGTGTATTATATAACGATATTCATCATCAGGGGATGGTATTAAAAAGTAGAATTAGTAGAAGCAACTAATTTTAGAGTTGTCAGTGGCAGAGAGAAAATGTGGTCTTAAATTTCTAGCTAGAAATGGAGACCATTAGAGGTCATACTATGAGGATGACAACATAGGAAAGACATATATGTTGGGACTAGAACTAGCTTTCTTTCTTTCTTTCTTTATTTCTTTCTTCCATGATAAATTTATTGAAAGTCTGTTATGTACTAAGCACTTCTCATGGAATTTAAAGAAACAAAGATGAATGTGTATCATACTTCCTAGCCCTTTGTCATATATGTTAATACTTCCAGATAGTCCTATTTCAACTCTTTAGCTTCTTCATAAAAACATCATGAACACACTAGAGAAGAAACAGAAAGAAATAGAAGGTCTGGAAGATAAATATGGAAAATCTATGAGAAATAGAACAAAAAACCAAATGTATGAAAAAGAGGAGAGAAAATTGGAAAGCGCATTAAAGAGATGCAATATCCAAATAGTATGAGTTAGAGAAGGACAGAGCAGGAAAAGAAGGAAGAATGATGCAAGCAGATTTCCCAAAATAAGAACATAAATTTCTTTACAAAAAGGACCTACTGAGCACCCATCATAATGGATTAAACTAAGCATATTACTGTGAAAGTAAGAACAGCACTTACGAACCAATACACCGTTCTAATTGCTCACAAAAAGAAAGATAAACAAAAAGACACACAAATATATATATATTAGTAAAAATCAGAATTGCTTCAGAATTCTCAAGAGCAATGCCAGGAGGTGGGTAGATTCTTTTGTTCCATATTCTGAAGGAAAATTAAATCTAATCTAGAATTCTATAGTATTAATTCAGCAGACACTAGAATAAAGACTTGGAGATATGCAATATCTCAAAAAACATATTTTCTACATGCTGAT